GAGGAAAAAAGCTGAAAAAACAAGTGACATCAAACTTAACACCAAAAGCTGTTCATACTGAAGACCGAATGCTTTTAAAAGAAATAAGCCAGTTTGTTTATGCATAATTTGTTCTCTATTACAATTATATAACATTCAACTATTATTTATATTTCCGGTATTTCCGGTGATTTCCAATAACGGAAGCGCGGCTAATTCCTCACATAATTTATGGATTTCAATAGTGCATTTTATTATTATTATTGCAATAATATTAATAAAAATATAATAAAGTGTTAAATAATAATAATAGTGATAATTATTAAAATCGAAGGAATATTTGCCAATACTACCAATCATGATTATTAAATAGCATTTCCAATAAGTTTACAGGCCTTTACGGTCAAATAAAGAAGGTCTGAGTTTCTGAGTTTTGCTACTGGTGCCGGTGTAATTATAGGCGCGGGTGCTGCTTCAGGAATTGCAACTAATGTCGGAATTGCTGTGCTTGCATCTATTTTTGGTGCAACTGGTGCGGGATTAGCTGGTGAATTTTGCTGTCAGAAGAAAATATTTATTCTTATGAATAATATAAACAATATATTTGTTTATTTCTGATTTTTGAATGATAAAAATATCATTTTAAGGTTATAAAATGAACAAGCGTGTTGGAGCTATTGATGAATTTGTCATCGAATCTTTGACAGAAGGTAGCAGCCTCCATTGCGTTTTGACAGTCAGTGGATGGATAGAAGATGTATATCAGCATTTTTACTCATCTTTCAGTATATTAATTTTATTCATACTTTGAAAATTGAATCCAGTTTTTTTTTGCTTCATAAATTTTTATGAAGCTTTTATGTGGTTTCTTTATTTTATTAACGTATAAATAATTCAGGATAGCAAGAATGCTTTTCGAAAACAGTGGCGCCATTTATGGATGTCTCGTGAGCAATTCACTTTGCGCTATGAAAGTAAATATCTCATAGAACTTGGAAAAGCCATTGAATATTTAATGTCATTTGCTGTTTCCGTCGCCATACAGCAAACTCTTATGGAAACTGCGTTAGCTGGTTGTTATTTTGTATTTTAATATATCTCTTGTTTATTCTGTTCAGTGATAGAATGATTATAATTCAGTTTGATGCTTCAATCCAAAAAATTAAGAATTAAAAATTAAAATTTTATATTAAAATTTTTTTATAGGCTTCGTAAATTATCATTTTATTATTGATCTATGGACTCATTTCAGGTCTAATGTCAGCAATTGCTTGGCCGATTGCAGTTCTTTCAGCAGCAAATGTCCTAGATAATCCATGAAATGTTTGTGTTAGTCGGGCTGCTGAGGTAACTTTGTTGCATTTTAATAATACTTTTGTACAGAAGTGATTTAGGTCGGAGATTTCCTAGCTGAAATACTACTTCGACGTGCTCACGGGAAATATCCAATCACTTTAATAGGTTTCTCTCTCGGTGCTCGCGTAATTTACCATTGTCTTCTTACAATGAGCCAAAGGGCTGATTATGCAGGTATTTTTTGGAAAACCATTTTATTATTGTAGTTTTATAGTTTTTAGTTTTTTCTTTATAGTTTTTTCTTATTTATAGTTTTTTCTTATTTATTTGCGATCACAAATTACAATATATTATTATATCGATTTATATTTAGGCATTATTGAAGATGTTGTGC